CCCTGCGTCAGGCTCCTCGCGAGTGGCACGACACGCTGCATGCCACGCTAGCACACCTGCAGTTCTTTCCGTCCTCTGCTAACCCCTCGCTGTTTGTGCGTTCCGGCCAGACTCCGTTCTACATCCTTGTCTACGTAGACGATCTGGTCTTCGCTACTGCTGACAGGGACGCACTGGCCTCTGTGAAGGCCGAATTGCTGAAGAGACACACCTGCACTGACCTTGGAGAGCTGCGTCGCTATCTTGGCCTGCAGATCTCTAGGGACAGAGCAGCACGCACCATCAATCTGACACAGTCACACTTGGTGCGTCAGGTCCTTCAGAGGTTCGGTCTTCAGTTCTCTTCCGCACAGCCCACACCTCTACCTGTAGACCATGGGCTCTCCGCTCCCGTTCTTGAGGAGCCAGTAGAGCCCAGTAGCCCCTACGCAGAGCTGGTGGGTTGTCTCATGTACCTGATAACTTGCACTCGTCCAGATTTCGCATACCCTCTCAGCATCCTGGCTCGCTTTGTGGCTACACGCAGACACCGACCTTTGCACTGGTCTGCCGCTAAGAGGGTTTTGCGTTATCTTGCTAGTACATCGGGCATGGGGTTAGTGCTAGGAGGACGCAGGCCGGTGGTCCTTACTGGGCACACAGACGCTTCTTGGGCAGACGACTCTGAGACGCTCAGGTCGTCGCAGGGCGACAGTTTTAGCCTTGGTTCGGGTGCTATCTCTTGGAGATCCACTCGCTCGTCGTCTGTGGCTCAGTCTAGCTGTGAGGCTGAGATCTACGCTGGTGCCATGGCGGCACAGGAGCTCCGCTGGCTGACCTTCTTGCTCACAAACTTAGGTGAGCAGCCTAGCTCTGCCCCGGTCCTGTACGCTGACAACAGGGCCATGATACTCCTGTGTCAGGAGCCTCGGCTTGAGGGCAGAGCGAAGCATATCTAGCTGCGGTACTTCCTCCTACGCGAGCTACAGCAGCGCCACCAGGCCCGCGTAGTTCACTTGGCCTCAGGTGCCAACACAGCTGATATCTTTACTAAGGCGCTTGCGCCTAAAGATCATCAGCGGCACTGTGTACAGCTTGGTCTTGTTCCTGTAGCTACTCACCTGTTAGGATTCTGATTGTGTACTCTCTATTATATATGCCTGTCAGACTGGCCTTGTGGCCTTACCTCCAGTGGCTGGACTAGTAGTGCCGCCCTGGCTTGCTTTAGTTTTGTTTGTATTCTTGCTGACTGGTCTCCAGACCCCTGCCTCAGTGGTTGGACTAGTAGTGCCACCCTGAGCCGTTTGCTTCTTGCTTAGCTTCACCCCTTGTCTAGCCTAGGGGGTGTGTCAACTTATACATATTAGCTATGTAGAAGTTATAGGCTAGACTGAGGTATGCTTCTTGTGAGTACAACCAACTAGTACTTGTTCTAGGTTTCCACTTCTAGTCAATCATTCAGTTCTTACTTTAACAAGCGCTGCACACATCTAGCTGCTCCACTTCGAGGTTGAGGGCTGCTGCTAGGGCGAGGAGTACACGGAGGGTTGCGACCTTGGCAACAGGGGCGAAGGTCTCGCTGTAGTGTTCGCCTTCGCGCTGCATGTACCCTTGGGCTACGAGCCTTGCCTTGTAGCGTTCCATGCACCCATCAGCTCCACTTCAGCACCCACTTTGCTCCCACCAGGTACGCCCCCTTTGGAGGGTCAACCAGCTCGTAGAGTTGGTTGTCCTTGATGGAGGCCAGCTCGTAGACTTGGGTGTCCTTGGCTACAGCTGAGAATCCGGAGCAGCCATTGCCTCAGCATGTGTCCTAGGGTCGTCACCACCTAGGTGCAGCAAGCAATAGGCCACATGCTCCTCATCCATCTCCCCAACAGCAACTGTAGCGAAGTCTGCGTACTTTGGGTTGGGATGAGGGGCACGGTGCTCGTGGGCAAGAGCTAATGGAAGGGATGGAGAGCTGGAAGAGGTTTCTGCTGCAGGGTGCTGCCCATTTGCAACCTCGTCTTCTTTCTGAATGCTCTTTCCCCCTCCGTTTGCTGCTCCCCCTTCCTCCGTTTGTGGGACCTCACTCCCTTCATTGTTCTCCAATGGTGGAAGAATGAAGGTGCGCTGCAGCACTGCTTCTTTTTTCGAAGAGAACTTGTTCTCCGCGAAAGCCACATCCCTCGAGGTGATAGCCCGCAGCTCACCCAAGTCCCACACTCTCCATGCGTGCTCGTTGGCAGTTATACCCAAGAAAATAGCTTCCCGAGCCTTCAGCTGCAACTTGTAACACATGGGGTCGGGGGCGTGGTAATAGCAGAGATACCCGAAGGTCTGTAAGAGGGAAAGATTCGACTTCCCTCCCGTCCAAGCTTCAAACGGCGTAACCCTTGGCAGCACCTTGGCCGGCAAGCGATTGCGAATCCAGGTTGCAAGGGTGCTAGCCTCTCCCCACCACTCTTCCCCGACTTCAGCGGAATTCCTCCACAATCCATAGGGTTGGATTCTGGTGCCTCCACGTGGCACCCAACTGCGAGGTCAATGCCTCTCCAACAGCCGCCCCCTCCACCCTCTCAGCTCATCCAATCCCAAAGGACCAAGAGATGGTGGGTTGGGGGCACGAAACTGCCCAACCAGCAGTTTCCTTCGAACAGAGGGGACACGGGAGAGGCTCAATGTTGCATAAAGAAGCAAAATGTCGCCTCTCCAAGCCAATAGAGAAAAAGGTTCGGAGACTGGTTGGTTGACGTCCAAGCGAGTGAAAAGAGGTTCGGTCAAGGTTTGGTATAAGCGATTCGGCTTTGTCGGTGGGGGTGCCCACAAAATCTGTACGTACGCGCCGAAGCAAGAGAACGTTGGAAGCTCACAACAATATCTTTGACGTGGATCTCGATGCTCATTGGTCGAGGGGGACCACCGGAACCGGGAACAGTTCAAATGTGGGACATGTGGACTACTCAGGCTCCGCACTCCGCCTTTCGGCGGAACAAGCGACCTTGCGGCTGGCGTGGGTTTGGGGGTTCGCGCTGAGGGAAGGAGAACGTTGGGAACATCCCCATATCCGGCAACGTGGATCAATACTCTCATTGGCCACTCAAATCGTGGGGCCCTCAAGCTCCGCAGTCCGCACACTTGGGCAGAGGATGTGCGACGTGGACCTGCACTTCAATGGCTAGAGACGTTCGCTAAGGTGAGATAGGTGCGGCCCATTGGGATGTGGACCACACAACCAGATCTTTTATGGGGATGTGGCGGAACGTGGGAAATGTGCGGCTTCTCGAATCCCGTCCCGAGAGATCGAGACTCCTTGGGAGCGCCGCATCATAAACACAATTCTCTCCTTCCCGAGATTGGTGATTCCAGCAAATTTTCGTGAGCTCCAAAATGCTACGTAGTGTTATTGATTTTGGGGAGTCGCGAAAGTTGCGAGTGTCGAAATAGCTAGGTGGGTAGAGGAGCCATTGAATGGCGAGAGGTTTTAGGCTAGGGAAAGTGAAGAAAGATAAGAGAGTTTGGACTAGAAGAGAAGGAGATACAAGAAGGGGGGTAGTCCTCTACAGTAGGATTCAGTAAGTAGCACAACCAAGCCTACAATCATATATAAAATATGTAATTTAACACACCCCCTAGGCTTGGTAGTGGCAAGCCCATCCCACCCCCAGCACCCCCACATCCTTGCACCCCCATTCCCTGCAGCAGCAGTGGCGTCGACCAGCCGGTCGACCCCTCGGCAATCGAGATGGCGACGTCGACGACGGGTCGTAGCGGCGGCGGCGGCGGTGGCGACTGCGGCGGCAGGGCATGCAGCACCTACGGCGGCGGCGGGGAGGCACCTGACGACGGCGACTGCGGCACCCAAGGCAACGGCGGCGTGCTCAACTTGCGACGACGAGGAGGAGGACGGCACGGGGTCGCTAGCAGCTGCGGCGGAGAGAAAGGGAAAGGCAGAGGAGGGGAAGGGGGAAGGGGTGGGGGGGCGGATCGTCAGCGCGGCGCCATGGCTGGCCCGGCGCTTACTGGCGTGCGGGCGGGTTGGATGCGGCTAACACAGCCCGCTGCCGCTCGTGCGCTAGTGCGTCGACGCCGTCGCGACAGCACGACGACGCCGCCACGGCTGGACGTCGACACCACGATAGTGCGATGAGGCTGCCACGACAGAAGCGTCGAGACCGCCGCGGCAGCACGACGGCGCCATCACGGCAGTACGACATGGTCGTGGCGGCGGCGAGGAAATTACAGGAGCGAGGAGCGGAATTTGCGGAAGCGTGATGAGCAGGCCCGAGCAGACGGACCTGCTCTGAAACCATGTCAATATAGCTACGTGGGTAGATGAGCCATTGAATGGCGAGAGGTTTTAGGCTAGGGAAAGTTAAGAGAGAGAAGAGAGTTTGGACTAGAAGAGAAGGAGATACAAGACGGGAGGGAGTCCCCTCTACAGTAGGATTCAGTAAGTAGCATAACCAAGTCTATAATTATGTATAAAAAATATATAATTTAACAGCGAGGTGTGGTGAGGGGTGTTGGGGGGGCTCTGTTACCTTTTCGCTAGATTCGCCAACCCCAAACCAAACCTTCTTGATTTGGTTTCGCGCTTCTTGAAATCCTCGCTTTAAATCTCTTGCATATTAGATTGTCTTAGCTTGCCATACAGTTATGGTTTCAATTTGTATGCCACAATCACGCTATCCCATAACATGCATAACCCCTTACAGACGTTATAAATTCTATGATCCTGCAAACCATGTATCAAACAACATAGCCAACCTCACACCAAACAAAATGATAATGAACGGGACAATACCGCTAATATGAACGATTTAACCCATATGTGCATCTGTAAATCTATCTCTAACCATGTGGTGAGTATTGTTGTGAGTCATCATCTGGGTATATGTATTGTCATACATGGAATCATAATGAGCACTCATACGAATGTATTTTCACGACTCCTCTGCACACTTGTACACTGAACCAGAAACCAACAAACATCAACGCATGCTCGCTCAGTCCTTATCGCCTTCCTGGCTCGGCTTGGCTTGAAATGCTGCGTAGATCACGGACCGACTGCGCAGAAAGCTAGGCCTTCTCCAGAGGAGACTGCGTCAACAAAACTGTGCGACATTTCCTCACTCAGAGTAACGACGATCTTACCATTTTCTGGGCACTCCATCGTCACGCCGTTGCACCAGCTCGAGTCCCCTGGCGAGTCAAGGTGGTTGGTACCCACAGCTCCAGTGCTCGCAGTGGTGCCTATCGGAATGGCATCCGTTGCGTGCGCTGCAACGCTTCATAGGCATCACGACGCAGTAGCGCCAGCCGCATTGCCTCGTCTTCCCAGTGAGTTGCCAGGGACGTCGCTCGAGCCTTACTCCTCCACACGTGATGCGCGAATCTGACTGCCGCCCATTGCTTGGCCCTCCCTCCTCCGACGCTCCACCGCTGTTTGAATGATGACCCCCGCCATACGTCGCTCACCTGGCGTATTCCTATTCTCTTGCACCTAACGCCATTCGCACATCCCTTGCGTCTCGGACCCCTCAATCCCAATCCATAACCCCACCATTCCCCTCCTCCCGCTTCCCCACATTCCACCCCCCCAACCTCCCTTCCTTTCCCCTGCACCGCGCAATCCCCTGCTCTCCTTGGACCATTCTCACAGGGCACACTACATTGGCCGTGTGCGCGAATCCTCTGTGCCAAGCAGCGCGCCCCACAGCGCTTCACGCGCGGAGTCACTACGTGCGGACGGGGCAGCCCGCGCGATTGCGCGGAGGGGGGCGGCGCTCAATACGGGCGTGCAGCGCAGAAGTTGCGGGGGTGGCGGCGCAGACGACGCGGAGGAGACGCGCGGGGCAGAGCAGCAAGGGCGAAGGGGGGGATGAGGGCGAGGAGGAGCAGGGGGGAGCGGGGGATGGAGAGGACGAGGAGGAGAACAAGGACGAGGTACGGGTGTTATACCGCACGTCAAAAAATGCCAGACGCCCATGCCATGTCCGCTCGCCCCCATTCTCCTAGTTCTCCCCTCTGTACTCGTCTCAGGTACTTGGCCTAGAAGAACTAAATCCCTCCTCTTGGGTTCTCCCACCAGCTCCCATTTCCAATCCCTACACTCTCCCTACACCCTCTTCCCCTGCCCCACCCACCCCCCCCCCTCCTTCCCATGATCCCTCCGTCCCTGGCACTGACGCCCCAGGCAGCATCACCATCCACTCCCTGTCTGCTGGTCCTAGTAGAGTCACCCACGTCCTTCTCATTCGAGGCGCACCCGCACTCCGACGACCCCGCCGCCACGGCCTTCTGGCTCTCCTCCCTGCGCCCCGTGCCGCGCCTCACAGCGACCGTGCTGCTCTCCGACATCGAGTCGCGCGTGGCCAGCATCCGCCGCAGGCGCCCCCCGGTCACCGAGTCGTCCTTGCACACCGTCGCCTTCTTCCTCGCCCTAGGCCTCACACCCGCGCGCGTGCTGGACCTCTTCTCGCGCGTGCCGTCGCTGCTCAAGAGCCGCTGGCACCACGACCTGCTGCCCAAATTCCACGTGCTGCTGGCGGCGGGCGTGGACCTTCCGTCCATGCTGTTCGCCGTCAACTCCATCCCCAACTGGCTGCGCTGCGAGGTGGGCGGGCTGACGGGCGTGGTGGAGTTCCTGCAGGCCATGGGCGTGCGGCGCGAGAAGATGAACAGCGTGGTGCGCCGCGCGCCCGCCGTGCTGCAGTACGACGCCATCAACAACCTCTGGGCTTGGGCTGAGGCGCTGGCTGGACTCATCATGCAGGAGGACGTGGATGATGGGGATGGCGAGGAGGGGAAGGAGGGGTCGGGGACGTGGGACGAGGGAGGGCAGCGGGTGGATGGAGAGGAGGAGGGGGGGGAGGAGGGGGAATGGGGGGAAGCACCTGTGCAACAACTGGCTGTTGAGAGAGAAACTGAGCTACCAGAAGCACCCGCCACAGCAGAGGCGTCATCGGAATGGGCGGAAACACCCCCAACCCATGCAGCAGCAGCAGCAGCAGCAGAGAGCCAGCCGGCCACAGACACCAAAGGCGAGGCCCCCCTGGTGATATCCCCTCAGCTGCAAGCGGCCATAGCGAGCCGAATGTTCGGGCAGTTCATCGAGAAGTACCCGCGCATCGTGTCCAACTCCGCCGCCTTCATCACCGCGCGCGTGCGCCTGCTCTGCTCGCCCACCTTCGGGCTGCGCCTGCCGAAGCTGCTGCGCAGCGCCAACCTGCTGGGCATCCGTGAGGAGAAACTGCGCGCCGCACTGGCGTTCCTGGAGCGCGAGGTGGCGCGGAGCAGCACCGACGTGCCCATGCTGGTGAACGCCCAGCCCACCATCCTGGGGCTGGGCACCGACAACCTCAAGGAGAAGGTGCTGTGCGTCACCCGGCTGCTCGATGGGCCGGGCTACGCTGCACGTGCAGTGGGCGGTGAGAGTGGAGACCGAGGGAATAGTAATGGCGCTTCTGCAGCAGTGGGTGTGACAAGAGGAGCCAAGAGTGAAAGAGAACAAGAAGCCCCGTCAGCAGCACCTTCAGCTGCACCAGCTGCATCATCTCCATCAACAGCAGCAGCAGCAGCAGCAGCAGCAGCAACAGCAGCAACAGCAGCAACAGCAGCAACAGCAGCAACAGCAGCAACAGCAGCAACAGCAGCAACAGCAGCAACAGCAGCAGCAGCAGCAACAGCAGCAACAGCAGCAACAGCAGCAACAGCAGCAACAGCAGCAACAGCAGCAACAGCAGCAACAGCAGCAGCAGCAGCAGCAGCAGCAACAGCAGCAACAGCAGCAGCAGCAGCAGCAGCAGCAGCCCCAACACCCCCACCATCCCCTCCATCCCCCCGGTGGACCATCTGCGGGCCTGCCGCACGCGAGGCCTTCCGCGTGTACCCCTCGCTCCTGGCCACCAGCGTGAGCACCATCGAGGACACCTTCGCCCACTTCCAAGCGCGCTTCCCCCCTGACGCCGTGCACACCCTCGTCTCCACGTACCCGTACCTGCTGACGCGCAAGTGGGAGCGCAATCTGGGGCCCAAGCTGGACTTTCTGGTGGAGGAAACGGGGCTGGACGCCAGCGAGGTGCTGCACTACCCGCTCTACTTCACTCACAGCCTGGAGCGCCGCATCAAACCACGGATTGTGGCGTTTAAAGCAGCGGGGTTTAGGCTGGTGTCTGCTGCAGGGGGGGCGCAGGGGGAGGTGGTGGAAGGGGGGGAGGGAGGGCAGGGAGGGGAAGGAGGGGAGGCGAAGGGTGCGGTGAGGGGCAGAGGGAGGCCTTCTAGGGCAAGCTCTGGGCAGTGGATGCACGATGGAGTGTGCTTGACGACTGTGCTGCACTGCACAGATGACGAATTTGCTAAGAGATTTGGGATTCGCCCGGGGTTGCCAAGTGATTAGGGCGGTTGTGGCTGGTGGAACGCTTGAATAAGTAAAGTTGCACATTGCATTGTTTACATGTGGCGCTCGTTTCTGCCTGACAGTGCTAGTAGTACTGGTTGTGAAAGGAAGCCAGGGACCAGATTCTTTAGTTGAGAGCAGGTGCCGGATTGGATTTGGACCACACTGATTGATCAGTGTCATCAGGCAGTTTACCAGGCCTTTTGACACTGTAGGTTGCACAAACAGCACTACATGAGAAGCCGAAACTGTTGTGTTAGGCCCAGCAGGATTGACAACACAGTGCCTTCTGGAGCCGAAACTGTTGTGATACGCATAAAAACACCCTGAAAACAGTGAAAGCAGGGTAGTTTAAAAGCCCGACGGGGCCTGAAGCCACCCAACCCAACCCAAAGCAAGATGTAGGTGTGTATTTTTACCTCCATCCACACTGTAGTACCAGATCGCATGTGTGAGTGTGCCAGACTGTACTGTAAGGCAGGCTCATCAGCAGCCAAATTTTGGCCTACGGGCAAAGCAAGATGTGAAAGTGATCAGGGTGACATGGCAACTGGGAGATTATACCGGTAAAGGTCAGTCGTAAATCAGCACAACTAGGCGTATGGTGCATACACAGTCCCATTTTGCAGCAGCAGGCATCCCCCCTCAGCCTTATCATAATGCTACCAACACCATCACCCCGCAAAGAGTATCCCAGCCGCATGCTCCTCGTTGCCCCCTGTGAGTGCCAGCGCCTGCTCCACCTGGTGGCGGGGGAACCCCAGCTCCATCAGCCGCTGCACCTTCACCTCGTGCGCCGAGGGGGCGGGCGATGCGGATGGCGATGGGGATGGCTGGGGGACAAGAGGATGGGGTGAAGGAAGGGAGCAGGAGAGGGGGTGACGGGAGGGTGGAAACACGGATGAGGTTGTAGGATATTTGGGTGAGGGAAAGCACTTGGAGGAAAGGTCGTGATGCAGAGGGGGAGAGGAGAGAGGGCCTGAGTTGGAATTGCACACAGCATGTGCTCACCTCACCACCAGACGCTGCTGCAGCACCTGCTGCTGCCGAGCCAGGGGCAGCGCCCTGGCTTGCTGGCGCCCCTCCCCCACTACTCGCACCGCCCGCTGCTGTGCCTGCTGCTGCTGGCGGTGCTGCTGGTTGCGCTGCAGAGGTCGTAGCAGCGGAGGTGGACGGTTGGGAGGGCTGGGCAGGGGTGGTGGCGTCGGGCTGGGAGTCGTGATCCATGGCGGTGAGGAAGGCAGGGATGTCCTTCTCTGGTGGGGCACAGAGGAATGGCAGAGAGGGCGAGGGTGAGATAGGTGGGAAGGGAGCGCATGTGCAGCGTTGAGGGAAGAAGGATGACATGGGACATGGAGAGAAGGATGTGGTGGGATGTGGGACGGACGATGTGGACAGATGGAGGAGGTTATGGCATAGAGGGAATGGTGCCTGTGCGCTTATACATGCACAAGTGCTGGCCAATGGAGGAACACCACCGTACCTGACAGGAAGGGGACTGCTATTTCCCCACCACCAACACGCAGAACGTTGTCCTTGAGATCAATGCAACACTACGGGGAGATGAAGACAGGAGACGGCACGGCAGGGAGGGGGAGAAGGAAAAAAGGTTAGGGAGGCTGGGGAGGCTGGGCCGATCTCCACTATGCACAGGTGAGGGGGAGTTGGAGGCAATGATACGCAGCAGCAGGAACCTAGTGGCATGTGAGCATATGGAGGCCCATGCCCATGCCCATGCCCATGCCCATGCCCATGCCCATGCCCAAGCCCATGCCCATGCCCATGCCCATGCCCATGCCCATGCCCATGCCCATGCCCATGCCCATGCCCATGCCCATGCCCATGCCCATGCCCATGCCCATGCCCATGCCCATGCCCATGCCCATGCCCATGCCCATGCACCTGCACATGCTCCTGCATTAATGACGGAGAGCAGGTGACCCACCTAGCAGTAAGTGCCCCACCTGGCAGCGTGAGCCCCACCTAGTGGCGCCAGAGCACCCATGCACGTGCATGGGTGGCGAAGAGGCAGAGACCCACCTGGTGGCGTCGGAGCATGTCGAGGCCGAAAAGGAAGTCGACGTTGTCTGCCTCCAGCACCGTGATGCTGCACATGTAAAAGTTGCTCCCGATCTGATGGCCAAAGCATGTAGGGAGCATACACACACAAGGCCAAGGGGTGCATACGAGGGTAGAGATGAGGCCCTCCTCATGACCACATTCTCTACTCGTTCCTCTCCCTCACACACTGCTCTCCCTAATCCCACAAACCTTTTCCATTTCCCCCCCCCACCTTGAGCTGAACCGCGTGGATGCGCCCCACTATCTTGGATGTGCCCACGCCCCGCGCTATGCCCTCGTACCGCCGGTCCAGCAGCCGTGTCAGCCTGGGGATGAACGCAGGCGCTAGTGAGTGGGTGGATGCATAGACGGGACGACCCAATGGGGGTACGGGGAGAGGAGAAGAGGCACCGTGGACGGTGGGCGGTGGGCGGTGGGCGGTGTGTATTGAACCCAGGATCTTTCCTTTCCAGTGGGGTGTCTTGCCCACTAGGACACTGGGTGAGCAATAAAGTCCTGCACATTTGCTAGACCAGGTCTTGAAGGGACACTGGGTGGTGAGATGCGAGGATAGCGGGATGTGATAGCACTAAAGATGTATCAGTCTTAGTGGTGTGAAATTGTTGAGAGAGGTGCATGGCGTGTGAGCCCCACAGCATACCCGCATCGTTCGGCGCATCGCATTGACATGATGGTCTGCTGGGCGCCACTGTCCACAAAGGCCTGCACGGCGTGTGGGGAGGTGGAGTGAGGGGTGGTGGAATGTGGGGTGGTGAAGTGTTGGGTGGTGGGGTGTGGGGTGATGCATGGGTCTAGTGCACCATGTAGGAGGACATGTGGAGTGGCACAGCGGGGAGTACCAACCAATGAAGGGCGAAAGCAAGGCAAGACGAAAGCAGATGACACAGCAAGTGGGGAGGGTGGTTCACCTTGATGGGGGAGTTGTTGACCTCCATCTCCACATACAGCATGTGCTGCCACCATGCCGTGCGGAGAGAGGAGGAGGAGGAAGGGGGTTGGACGGGAAGGACAGCAGATCACAGAGGGGAAAGGGGAGAGACGACGAGCGGGAAGCAGGTGCATGTGAGGCTTGAGGAAGAGAGAGAGGTGTAGCAGTGCCACAGCACGACTGGGGGCAAGGGGGGGACGAGATATGGGGAAGGGAAAGAGGTGGAATGGGGTGCTTGCTCACCACCGCAATGAACTACTCACCACCACAATGACATGCTCAGCACCGCAATGAAATGCTCAGCACCGCAATGAAATACTCACCACTGCAATGAAATGCTCAGCACCACAATAAACTACTCTCCACGGCAATGAATTGCTCAGCACTGCAGTGAACTGCTCAACACCGCAATGCACTGCTCACCACTGCAATGCGCTGCTCACCACTGCGATGAACTGCTCGGGGGCATGCTCATACGCCGCTGCGTAGTTCTCATCGATGTTCTTCTGCTCGCATGGCACAGCACACATGACAGCATGCACGCGCACACAGAAATTCACACGTTCACACACACATGCAGAATGGGCAGCCGTGAAGGAAATGAGGCTTGTTAGAAAAGAGGAGGGGAGTGAGGGGGTGCTGAGGGACAGCAGTGGTAGTGGAGGTGACGGATGCATCCGGGCGAAGCAAGAGAGAGCAGTGGACGCTGTGTGCTGGTGGAATTGAGGATGGGTAGCAGGCAGGTAGCAGCGCCACAGCATGTATTGAAACAGTATGGCAGGCATGGCACGGCAAGGCATGTGGGAACGCACCTGTTGAATCCGCTCTTCTATCCTCCTCTGCACCTCGGGGTCAAAGGGATCCGCCGATAGCAACTCCTGCACCCATGTACGCAGGCACGCACACACTCACACGCACATGCACATGCACATGCACACACATGCGCACACGTGCATCACGCACGCGAATGAAAGAGAGCTTGTAGCATGAGTGAGCAAGCATGCGGGAGTATTTGGATAAGAGTTGCACATGAGAGAACCGAGTCCACGAGTACCAAGGGACACGTGCGACTGAGTGTGTGTGGGCGTGCGCGCACCTGCTCCTCCTGCTCCTTCCGTCTCATCTCGTTCTGCATCTTCCTCATCCACCGCAGCACCCGCTGCATCTCCTCCACCTTGTTGTCCCGTATCGCCTCGCCCAGCTCCGGCGTGCTCTGGTGGCAAGGACACATGCACGCACACAGACACACACATGCAGTGCGGGGGAAAGGGGAGGCGAGAGAGGGGGGACAGAAAATGCGAGAGGGGGTTCAGGGTGAGGAAACGAAAGGGGGAGGCATGTTAGAGTGCAGGGGTTGAGGCAAAGGTTGTCATTTGTGTAATACAGTGCATTCGTAAAGCTCCTGGCATGACATTCCATCCTGTAGAGCAGCACGCCATCCCCACGCCCCACGCCCCACAGCCCATGCCTCATGCCCATGCCCCATCCCCCATGCCCCACGCCCCACGCCCCACGCCCCACGCCCCACGCCCCACGCCCCACGCCCCACGCCCCACGCCCCACGCCCCACGCTCCACACCCCATGCCCCACGCTATGGCATGCGCGGCGGTACCATGAGCAGGCGCGCCATGAGGTCGGGGTCGCTGAGCACGTGCTGGCGGAACGCCTGCGGGTCCACAGCAGCCCCGTCCTCCTGCTGCGCCATGGCGGCCGGTGGCGCTGCCGCTGCTGCTGCTCCAGCGGCCTGTGATGCGGCCCGTTGTGATGACGCGCGCTGCTGTGACGGCTGCTGCCTGGTGGCGGGAGGGGTGGGGAAGGGAGGGGTGATACATGGGCGATGGATGGTGAGATGCGGAGAGATGGATGGGACCAGAATGTGTTGGGGTGGAGGGCAGTGAGGCCACGCACAGCTAAGTCGAGAGCCGACAGCGAGAGAGATGCAGAGAGGCGGGGGCTTGGGGGGGTGTTGCGGGGAGGGCAGGGGGACTAGAGGCAGATAAAGGCAGATCAAGACATGTCACATTATCAGGTGGGGGTATGACACGGACCGTGTGAGGAAGAGCAGGTCGTTGTCCGCCACGCCGAGCGCGTTTAGGCGCTGGTGGTTCTGCAGCAGCTGCCCGTTGAACAGCAGCGCTTGCTCTGCCAGAGGGATGGCCGTCTGTAGGCACAGCGCAGTAGGGCAGCACATGGAAGGATGCACATGGGAGCATGCACATGGCAGCATGCACATGGCAGCATGCACATGGGAGCATGCACATGGGAGCATGTGGCAGCATGCACATGGGAGCATGCACATGGGAGCATGCACATGGCAGCATGCACATGGGAGCATGCACATGGGAGCATGCACATGGCAGCATGCACATGGGAGCATGCACATGGGAGCATGCACATGAGAGCATGCACATGAGAGCATGCACATGGGAGCATGCACATGGGAGCATGCACATGGGAGCATGCACATGAGAGCATGCATATGAGAGCATGCACATGGGAGCATGCACATGGGAGCATGCACATGGGAGCATGCACATGGGAGCATGCACATGGGAGCATGCACATCGGATCATGCACATGGGAGCATGCACATGGGAGCATGCACATGGGAGCATGCACATGGGAGCATGCACATGGGAGCATGCACATGGCAGCATGCACATGGGAGCATGCACATGGAAGCATGCACATGGGAGCATGCACATGGGAGCATGCACATGGAAGGATGCACATGGAAGGATGCACATGGGAGCATGCACATGGAAGGATGCACATGGCAGCATGCACATGGGAGCATGCACATGGCAGCATGCACATGGGAGCATGCACATGGCAGCATGCACATGGGAGCATGCACATGGCAGCATGCACATGGGAGCATGCACATGGGAGCATGCACATGGCAGCATGCACATGGGAGCATGCACATGGCAGCATGCACATGGGAGCATGCACATGGCAGCATGCACATGGCAGCATGCACATGGCAGCATGCACATGGTGCCAGCAGTCATGCAAGGATGCACGTGTTCGCGCCGAGCAAGACGGTATGCGCGCACACACGCGCACAAAAGCACTGGCGAACAGAAGTGCGACAAGGCAGAGCGAGACTGGGTGCACGGCGCCGAGCAGGAGCAGCGGCTGAGGGGATGCTAGATGGGCTCGATGCATGGCGGGTGTGGTGCGCGGCGGGTGTGGTGCACGGCGGCACAGCACAGGAGGAAGGACTGCAGAGAGGGCAGCTAAGGGAGCACGAGGCGACGCACCTCGACTTCGAGAATAGCCTTCACGTTCTCCACCTGCGGGAAGGGGACGCGCACAGAGGGGCAGAAGAGCAAAGAGCAGTCAGCGGCAGCGGAAGGACGCGAGAGCAGCGCATCAGCGGCCTGGGAGCGGCGTTGGGGCGAATTCCGGAAACGAGTGAGAGGTTCCATAACGGCGGTCGCGAGACGTGAGGGATTGAAGGATTCGAGCGAGGGGATGGGCAGGAAATCGCGCGAGGGGAATTGATCTACGCTCAAAGTCGAGACGGCGGAAAAGGCTGCTAGAGCGACTGGGAACGCACGAGCTCGTCGTTGTCGACTTGGATCATCACGATCCGATCGTCCGCCGTCGTCACCGTTAGCTGCATCGCGACGGAATTCGTGGGAACAGACTTAGCGAGGAGGGGGGTGGGGAAGAAACGAGATACCGTGGATTGGAATATAGAAATCGCGATGACGAGGGAGGCGAACAAGTAAGCGAAGAGCGGCTGCAGCTCCTCAGATGACGGCTCTGCTGCCCTGCAGAATCTAGTAGCTCAGCGTTACGGTTGGGGCTTATGGCTGAAGTAAAACGACGCTATAGTATGATCACTACTTCGTTCAATGAGCCAAACCTAATTTCAAAATACAGTCCGTTATTAAAGTGGACGTGTATTATACCTTGGTAATCTTTCTAAGTGTGGAACCGGCTTCTCAACCTGGTGTCTACCAATATTACTCATCCAATACCAATTAGAAAAGAACATCCTACGTGATTAGCCAAACACTACAACCCCTTCCTCAAGTTGTCACAAGAGAGACCCCCTACTCCAATCACAGCGCAGCACAAGGACAGACATAGATACCCAACTTATTCCTTCACCCTAATTCCTCCCCTACTAATCCCTGCCAAGTCGGCCCCTAATACCACACAACACAACGGGCAACGCTGCAGCGGAAGGGACACCTTCCAGCAAACAAGCCGTTTGCGCAACAAGTCCAAACGAAGGGGAGGGAGGGAGCTGAGCTGACCCCAGTGCCGGAACTGGAGGCGATGGTTATGATGGATGATGCCAACGAAGATAATGATCATGGCGGTAGCGTTGCTGTTGATGGTGGATCACTGTCCTTGGACGAGGTGCCAGGGGAGAGAGCACTGGAAGCGAGGGGCCTTGAGAGAGCTTGTCCTGCACCGAGTAGCAGACTGCAGGTGGTTGCCAAGAAAAGTTCAGGCAGAGTGGCCGGACAGAGCAGAGGGATTAAAGCAGTCCGTTCACATAAAGGGCAGAGGAGATTGGGCAAGGGAAAATGGGGTAGATTATTTGAGACTGAGAAGGAACAAGAAGTAAGGAAGCGAAAAGGACCAAAACAAAAAAAAAACGAGAAAAACGACTGATGTCTAGTAGCAGGCGCCCCATCGAACCGCAGGTGCAGATCGGATATAATGGCGGGCAGTCAGAATGTCTTACGCGAGCATAGCTTATGCACTCACTCTGAGCTACCAGCGCCATTGATCTCGTCGCGCTACTGTGCTTAGCCTACAACAGTAGCTCCGATTTTTTTTGTTGCTGCTTAAGAATAAGCTGGACGTTATCGTCGAGCTACCGTCATTATCGAATGTACGCATCGAGCTACCGTACTTTCCTTATCGCGCAACTAATGCGGCGGATACGGCGCAGGGTCGCAACGATAGACTTAGCACGCAAAAGTCAGTCTTTCATGAAACCGGCTCAAATATAAAAATTGAAGGAGGGCAAACATAGCAACTAGAAAAACATACGCGGAGGAATACCAGCAACAAAGCGGATAATAGCGAAATCAGCAAGGGCGGCGGAAGGGCCACAGGTTACAATACCGTGAAATCGTCGCCGGCCGGAGGACCGGCGGGTCGTCTAGGCGATTTGGAAGACGACGCAGCGGCGTTCCTCGGGGAAGTAGGAGTAGTTCTGCCCCTTGTTGACGTTGGACACCATGTTGTACACGCTGATCTCGATCGACGTCAGGTTCACGCGCACGTACTTGCCGCGGTACGGCGCCACGCCGCCGGTCGCCGGTTGGAACGTGCGCGACTGGATGCCGTCTTGCGTCGCGTAGAACTGGTTGTCCGTCCCCAGGATTGTCGTCGAGTTGTCGGCCGCCGGCAGCCCAGGGATAATCGTGACGCTGGAGTTACCGGAGTCCGCGGGCGGCGCGCTCCACACGTTGACGCCGTCCTGGCAGACGTAGTCCGCACCTTCGCTGTTCGCCGCAATCACATCCACCGTCGCGCCGCGAACGGACGCCTCGATGGCCCCGCCGAGGCGCGTGTCGCCGGCGCCGTCGGAAACGTTAAAGACCGGGAGCGAGGAGGAGCTGCCCTGGAAGTAGAAGTCGCACATCGTGGGCAGCGGCGGGCACGGGCCTTCGGGGGGAGGCGGGGGCGGGGGAGGCGCCGACGGCGCGGCAGCTTGCAGCACGGTGGCTGAAATAGCGGCTTCAGCGGCGGTGCCGGATTGCTGCGAGGGGGTGTTGGGCTTGCTCGGAGTGGGGTTCGCGCCGTTGGTGGTCTCCGATGTGGCGGCACCGGGGAAAAGCGGGTTACCGGACGAACCGAAGTTACCAGACGAAGAGCCGCCCGAGGAGAATCCGTCCGCTGAGCTCCCCGCAGGGCGGGAAGGGCCGGCCGAGGATGAAGCGCCAGAGGAGGAGGAAGAGGAGGAGGTGGCAGGCGGAGTGGAGGAGGCGACAGAGTTGGCGGGGTCCGTGGCCCCGTCTTTAGGAGCTTCTTCCGTTTTCGCAGGCTGTCTAGCGATTTCGTAGGTGAAGCCAACCTTGGTCAGCTGCGACCTGTGCAGCGCCGGGAACTCGAATAGCTTACGCGCGCGGGCCCACAGGCCGCGGCGCGAACGCGATGCGTATTGCGCGTTAGCGGCGCCGATGCTTGCGGCGACGAGCAGCAGCACCAAGACATGCAGGAGGGGCTGCAGCGAGCGAGGAGGAGCCATTGCGGAAAGACTGAAGGACAGAATACCCCAAGGTAAGTCTTGGAAATAATAAGCTCTAAAGCAGGGGTTCCTGACCAGCCACGGTGAGAACGGCTGGAGATTTATGCCTAAATACTACGGGCGCTAAATCAAAGGCGGAAATGTGGAGAAAGAGTGGGGTGGACGATAAGGAGATGAGGGGTGAAGGTGAAGGTGAGGGTGTTGTAGCCCAGGGTGTAGGTGGAGGTGGACGACCAAGGGCTGGGCTGGGCTGGGCTGGGGGAACTCCAAGATTGCAGGGAGGGCGGAACATCACAAGCCGAGGTGGTTGGGGGGGCGAATGAGTGCGCCACCGTAGCCCCTAAAGGGCAAGGCGCGCGACAGGTGGCGCTAATCCGCGACTCCAATGCCCACAGGCGGGGCCGCAGTACCCGGCGCCTGGGGATTGACCGGGGCAGTGATGCGCCGATGTCATATCCACACCACACGAACCAAGCGAAGCGCGAGAGCGAACCGCGATGGCGGCTGCGCGCGCCGTCCAAAGGACGCAAGCTTCCTCCAGAGTCCGAGCTCGAGCCCTTGGGGACGAACCTCCATATTCCCCCACCCGATGAACGCCACGTCAGAAGATTCCAGACCAAAGTAGGCGCAAAGCTAGGCTTCTGAGTGGTGGAACGGGGCCACATCATCGGGGACGGAGGACCCAAGCCGGACCCAAGCTAAGAAGACCTTCCCCGCCATTACAGGTCGTCATATTTCAATAGGCAGTTTCGTCAACCAATGACGAATAGTGAATCACATATAATATGTCACATTAGAGCCACTTAAAGCCATAAAAACAAATAGAATTTATCTCTCCAAACGGTTGCCTATATGGATTGGATTAAATTACCCAAAATATCATGCTATAGATGAGTACCTTGCTGAAGGTGATCTTAACATATAATCTGAATTATATGGCTACTTCGCTATGTAAGTACACCCTTACTGTTACTGTGTACACCTTCGCCAGAGGTGCCTCCTGACACAAATGAATTACTGTTTTCGCGAGCAATACAGATGGGACGACCATCTGGTTTTCGCCGCCGATCTGGATTTCCGCACGCCCACATCAGGAGCTTGTGTTCACTCAAGCTGGCTGCCCTCATGCTAGTCTCAGATACAGTACCTCAATGCCGTCATCCCAGTTGATGTCACTTGAGCCTGCTCCATAAGTTAGCGTCAAGGCCAAGATTGTCGCAACGCAATCCATCTCAATTTTAGTTCTCTGGTCACTGCAAGGGTCTATCTTGGCTTCCTCTCTTCGAATTCATTCAGCACGGCGATTTATCTGAGGGTGAAGAAAGCTTCACCAAACAAGCTCCTGTCTTGTACATGATTCGCTTAGTCGTCGCTGTACACCAAGTGTTGGTCATCATCTGTTTCTTATCGCATTACCAGCTCCTTTGACAAGCACCTTAGCGACCTTTCTAGGTCTACAGGATCCCAGTTGCGGGACTTAGGTAGTCAGTCGCCATGGCTCTAGTGCCGTTCAACGACCGATCCAACACATCCCCGCCAGAGAGCTCCTCGATAACCGACAGCAGGAACAACGGGCTTGTGGTGTGGGAAGGGACCATCGACGACACGGACGACCTCGCGTTCGTCGAAGCACTCGAGCTCGCAGAGGCCTCGGCCAAGCGACGTCGCACAGGGGAATCTGCCGGTGACCGTCAGCGGCCCGGTCGGCAGGCGGCTGTCGCCGGTGCAGGGAACTCTGTTAACGATGGCGACGGCTTGAGAAGAAGCGCCGGCGGTGGTGGGGGTAACGGTGGAGGCTGGAGCGGAGGTGGAGGCAACGGTATGAGAAGTAACGGCGTGAACGGCGTGAGTAGGAGCAGCGTGGTCATCACCGAAGTGACTCCGAACGCTTCTGCTGGTGTGCCTCAGTGTCAGCAAGGGCAGCAGCCGAGCCAGCAGGGTCGACAACAACAGCAGCAACAACAACATCATCATCAGCAGCAGCAGCAGCAGCGATGGCAAAGACAGCAAGCTGAGTCGAGGCAAGGAGGAGCTACCCTGAGGCGCTGTGAGGGAGTACAGTCAGGCGCTGGAGCGACAGGTGTGGCAAGTGCTAGTGGTGCAGTGGTTGCTTCCTCCTTCTCCACCCAACCTGCAACTCCAAATAGGTCTGGTAACCGTCCTTCTTGGAACAACCAACAGCAGCAGCAGCAACTGCACCAGGAGCAGCAACAACGGCAGCAACAACAGCTAGGGATTGTTCCCTCAAGTGGCTATGGTGCTCCTGTACCTGCGGCTGCATCTCCATCTCCCAACCTTCTCCCAGCGCAGCCACTTTCACCTGCGCAGCCTGCTCAACCTGTCGTCATGCGGCCAGCAGACTTTCGGAACATGCAGTCTGCTGCACTAGATGTGGGTACCTGATCAGTTTCTGGCTTGACGTTCAATTTTCCTGTTTTGCGTGCATGCTGTTTACCTCTGTTGCCTAACGTCTGACCTCTGTGTGCATCATGTGACCATGACAGGTTCTTGAGCCTGGTGACTACATGGTCTTGCAAGGGAAACCATATATTAAGAAATCAGGTATGCTCTTGTATTCTCTCCATTCCCATTCGCCTCTGTTTACGGGCCATTTTGTCAGGATTGGCTGACATTCATCCTCTTCCTTACACCTGATTCAGGCTGGCGCAAAATTGCTTTTTTCTTCAACGTGTCGTTCGAAATACGTGACAAGACCATCGAGAGGGATGAGCGTGGCAACGTTACAAGATCTGAGTTTTTAGTCCGAGCCAGCATGTCGTAAGATCCGAAACCTCCACTCTCCACTGGCACTTGTAGTTGGATTCAAATAGTCCTGGCAGTTTGATTTGTGATTTTCCTTCCTGATTGCAGTTCTGGCAGGTTTTCTGATGCATGGGGTTCATGTGACCGAGGAGAGAAGAGGTTCAGCAAACCAAACCATGACATTCCAGGCACTGCTGAGACCCGAGCTAAGAGCCGAGCATGTCAGGTGAGAGCCGTCTGGTCCTATTTGACCAGCATTTTTGCATGTGGTGTATGGCAACGCATGGAACATGCACACTAAATGACAAGTTGCTGGAACTTACCAAAATGCAGGACCTCTTGGGGATTGGAGAGTACAAGCAATATCGCACGTGACGCGTGTCAACCTTTTTGTTGCTGCCAGATGTGTTTGTTGATGCTGGTGATATCTTTCCGCGTTTTGTGGAAGGTCAAATTGTAATGAAGTTGTTAACGTTATAAGCAGATTTATATCCTCTGCTGAAGTGTAGCCATTTCCAAGGTGTGCGACAATAGCGAGCTATCCTGGAATCTTGGACATTCTCACTGCTGTCGTCAGCCAAGCAAGATTTCCCGCTTTCTAGCAACCCTAGTGCCACGGCACTGGACGGAACCAGTTGACTGTCGCTTCGCTCTGTCAGAAATGGGAGGAAGAACCCGAGGCTCCCGCCAGCAGCCTTGGGAATCCGTCCCCGGCGCGGAAGGACTTGCGCACTCCACTTGCCCCGCGTCTCAGCGGGGCTGCGCGGGTCTGAATGCTAGGCTCGGATTCCCCCCCTTTCCCCACCATTCCCCGTGCCAGCCAAGATCCACTCCCACACACTCGCCTGCTCCTCGGTTTCTCCAGCAGCAGCACCGATGACCAGTGAAGAGATTCAGTGGAAGGCAATCTAAGGAATCTGACGCATCTGCTGTAGTCTCTTCAGAAAAGCTTACTTTGGCCAAGCCGCTCTGCTGTTCTGTTTTAGGACCACTTGAATTTCTCTACAGCTTAGCCCTCGGAAGTCATAGTGTCGCCGGATTCGCCAGTATGAGCAAATTTGACACCAACCCGTTCGATGAGGGAGGCGAGAGCAGCAGCAACGCCGTGAGTGAGGGAAATAGGGGTGGCTGTTGTGATCTGTCCGAGGGTTCTTGTTATGCCGACGACTCGCGCTTTCCTTGCGGATCGCCGTATCCATGCCGTGTCTTCCGAAATTTGGTGAAATTCGGTCTGATATTCGTATGGAGGCTCGGGCAGTCATGGGATGACGTTGGATCTTGGTCTTATTGCGGTTCCTCTCCTCCCTCTCCTCCTCACTTCCTGTGATCATTCTCAGGCTCCTGTTCCGAAGTCGGGACTTGGTTCTTTCTTCGACAAGGTAAGCTAATTATCAGCCAATCCCAGCATAACTGCAGTATGTCGTTTCATGCTTTCGCGACGTTGTCGTGTGATCCGCTGCTTCTTGCTAGAGTATTCTGTTGTCTTCAAATCGCTTGTGAGTGTGCGATCTTCATCCCGTCGTGCATGTAATCACAAACTTCAATCCGCCATTCTTCGCAGGCTGGAGCGGCTGTTTCATCCATGGCGGCGTCCTTTGACAGCGTCGCCTTGACGCCAAAGGTACGCCAATGTGCCCTCCCCCTCGTCTCTCTCCCTCCCCTCTTGCCCTTCTTGGCTCCTCGCCGTAATCTCCTATTCGTCTGTTTCGTACATTGTGTGTTTCCTCTCGTCGTCGTAATCTCCTATCCGTCTTATTTTCCTTTGTCTTAATCGTTCCTCCTCGTCTGGCGTGTGCCTGTGATCTCCACAGGACATCGTGGAGAAGGAGACGCAGCTGGCAGCGAGAGAACAAGAGCTCAAGCGAAGAGAGGAGGTCAGTCGGAAGCATCTCAGCGCACGTCGCTAGTTCTAAGAGTCGTATAAGTTGTCATTTCTTGTCTTTTCATGCCCCATCTGCCTACTCATTCTCGTTCCCTTCGTGTGGTTTATCCTCCTGCGTTTCCTTCCCTCCCCCACCCCCACCACCCCCCCTATTGCTGCCGTTCGTTGTGCATGTGTGCGAACGCGCGTGGCGACGCGTTCGTGTCTGGACAACACACATCAGGAGATCACTCAACGCGAAGCATGTAAGTTCACCGCGTCGCAGTGAACGAGCACATCCTCGAATCGACTCCGTCCGTATCGTTCACACCCTTCCGTCCCTCTGCATCTTCGTCGTAGTCCTGATTGCGTAACTCCCCACCATGTCCCCAACTCCCTTCCTGTGCGCTGGCTTTTGCTACTTGCCTAAATCCCCACGTCCTTCTCTCTCGCGCGTCTCTCGCGCGTCTCTCGCGCGTGCCTCTCTCCTTCCCCGTCCCTCGTTCCAGCGCTGGGCATTCAGCGCAACAACTTCCCGCCGTTCTTCCCCATCATCCAGCACGACATCCCCACGGACATCCCCGCGCACGTGCAGTACCTGCAATACCCCGCCTTCCTCTCCTGGCTCGGTGCGTCCCCTTGCCCTCTCCTTGCACTTCCCTCACCCTCCCACCTCTGCTTTCTCGTTCTGACCTGTTTCTAACTCCATGTCCGATCTACTACGTTACCACCACCCTTATCCCGTCCCCACCGCCCTTTCATCGTCCCTTCCTCGCCTCCACTCCCCCGCGCTCCTCTCGGCTCGTGGCCCCTCCCTCCACCACGGCGCGTGCGTGCAGGCATCATGCTGTGCCTGGTGTTCAACTTCGTCGCCGTGCTCGTGTCTTGGATCCTCGGCGCTGTCAGCTCCACCTCGGGTCAGTCTCGCCTCGCCCTTGCCCTTCACTGCTACGAGCTCCATGCGTCATGTGCTGGGCCACCATGTTCCGTTTGGAATGTTTTTGAACTTGATGCGCACCTGACAGCCACAGCAGTGCCCCCCTTTTGTCAGCTTCTTGCTTGCTCTCAAACCCTCGTCGTACATCACCGCTGCCCCGTTCCCTTTCCACCAAAGCTGATCTCTGCCAACACTCTCTCTGGCACATTCTCCCCTCCGCCTCCCATGGCTTCCCCATGGCCCCTACCTGCCGTCACCAGGCCTGGGCAATTTCTTCCTGGCCATCATCTACGGCGTGCTGGGCATCCCCCTCTCGTACATCCTCTGGTACCGCCGCCTCTACAACTCTCTCAAGTAAGTCCGCCTGCGCGCTCGAGCCCAACCAGCACACGTGCTGCTCTTAGAGCTTGCTGCTTACACGCAGCTCGTTCCCCATGTCTGCATCCGCATCCGTCTGATCTTTGCCTTTCCATCACTTCGTCTAGTTTCGGCCCGTCGCCCACCCTTCACCTCATGAGTCGTCTCTTCCGTTCCCTCGACTCACGCGCTCCGTTATTCCCTGCTTTCTCCCTCGCTGCCAGTTATTTTCCATCCATCTTCCCTTCGTGTTGGTCTTTTATTGCAGAAAGGACAGTGCGCTGGGCTTTGGAATTTTCTTCCTTGGGTTCCTGGTGAGTGAGCACAGCTCACATAGTATGCGGGCTGTAGAATGTGCCACGTGCCATGTTGCTCTCAATGCTGATCTACTACTTTCCCACTTTGAACCTGAGTTTAAAACCTTCTGTACACCCATGGGATACTTATGTCACCACCTCCATCCACCACCCCCCTTCCCCCGCCCCTCCCAACCCCCCCCCCCCTCTCCCCCCCCCCCTTCTCCTCCCTCCCCCCCCTGTCTCCCCCTCCCCTCAGATCCACTGTGGCTTCTGCATCTTCGCGTCTGTGGCGCCGCCCATCTTCTTCAGCGGCATGGCCCTCACGTGAGCTCCCGTGCATCTCCGTGCCTTGCCACCTTGCCCCCTGCCATACCAAGCCATGTGACTCTCCTCTCCTCTGCCTTCGTCCTTTCAATAGAGACTGATGTGTTCTCCTCATTAATTGATTCTTATTCCCTCTCCCCCCCCCCCTTGTCCACCAGTGGAGTGCTCTCCACCATCACTCTCTTCGGTGATGGCTCCATCACTACTGGGGTAAGCACGCACCCGCCATGCTCATCTCATCACACTGCCACTTTGTTCGGCTATGCTTTGCTCAGGATTTGCCAGCCAATCCACACTGTTCCCCTCTCCACTCACCCCCACACTGTTCCCCGGCCTTGCGTGCCATCCCTTCCTCCATCTATCAGATTTTCTTCGCGGTTGGTACAGCCCTGTTCATTGGGGAGACCTGTCTCTCCATATACACCCTCGGAGTATGTGCCACCCCCTCTCATGCCCGCACTCCTTCCAGGATTCTATCTCCCATACCATGCAATTCTGCCATTTGGCCTTCCCTCTGCATCCTTTCCATCTCCACCCCTGGCCAGTCCTTCCCTCATCCTACTCCCTCTTCGTGCATACGCTTTGGTGCCTTGTGCTCTGCAACTGTGCACTGCATATTGCTGAAGCCTCTCTTTCCATGTTCCACGCCCTTTTCAGCTGGTGTACGCATACTTCCGGGGGGAGGGCAAGAGTACTCAGATGCGGAGGGAAGCAGCAATGGCTTCAGCGGGTATAGGCAACACCAGCGTGTAAAAGCAGGCAACATCCGTTCCATATCCAGTCTGGAGCACTGGCTGCTGCGCTGAGTGTGAATCTGCAGCATGTGGCATAGATACTTACATTACAGTTTGAAGGATGTAGGGAAGGTAGCAAGCTATACTTAACTGGCATTCAAGGTTGATTTGAGACCAAAACATGCAAGAGGGACATCTGCCGCTAGAAACAAGCGCCACAGCGCTCCTCATGTGCTCTACAGGTCAGCAGTAAACATGACAAACAAATCGAGGCCTACATGCACAGGTGTGTGCCAGAACGAGCAGCACACTGCCATATCTACCCAATTGGACAATATCAACCAAGCACAATGTATTCTCAAGGTACCTGGGATGGGATGGGAGGGTCTGCTTTCCCCAGGCACATTGAAATGCAAAAGCAGGGCCCGTGGTTCACTCATCATCACTCCCCGCCTCCTCCTCTGATTCCTCCTCCTCCTCACTTTCATCCTCATCCTCATCCTCCTCATCCTCCTCCACCTCAAACTCCTCATCTTCCTCATCCTCCTCCTCAACCTCAGCCCCCTCCCCGTCTTTCCCCGCTTCACCCGTTCCTGCCCTACTACCCTCCCCCCCCCTGCGCTCCCTACCCTGCCCTCCTCTATAGTCACCCCCAAGTACCTCCCCCCTCTGCCGCTGCGAGTCCTGGTGCCCACGATGTTATCTAGGTCCACCGTGCCCCACGGCTCCGCCACAATCAGCACCTCCGCGCCCTCCCCCGGATCGTCTTCCGCCTGCGGCTCCACCCCTTCGCGCGCGCCTTGCGACCCCTGCCCTCCCTGCCACTCCCGCGAAGCCCTCACTGCCGCCGCGGCGTCGTCGTCGCTCCCATCCTCGCTGCTGCCGCCGCCGCTAGAGTCGCGGGCGTGCGCGCGCGAGGGTCGCGCACCCTCCGCCTTGCCCTTGCCCTTGGCGTCCGCCGCCGCCACCGCCTTCCCCTTGCCTCGCCGCTTCGCCTCCTGCTCGCACCCCTCGTCGCTAAGATCGCATCGCCCCGCGTCGCTTTCGGGCTTGCGCTTAAGGCCACTGCTCTCCTCCGCCGCGCTGCCCGCTGGGACGTCGCACGCGCGATCTGCCATGGCTGGATGAAGGGTGGCAGTTGCACGATGGGAAAGTGGGAATCACGGGAGATGAAAATTGGGATCAGGTAGGGATCGAGGTGCGGTAAGGAGGAAAAATCTGCAATATTCGCTCCGATAGAACACGCTTCGAGTGTCGAAATAAAACGGACTTCACATATGAGCAGGTTGGATGAAACGAAACACACCTGGAGTGTACTGGCGAATTCTTCCGCTGCCCCACACTCCGAAGCGCCAGGCGGATGTGTGGATCTGGGGGGCTGGGCTGGAGTCGAGTCAGATGTCGCTAGCAGCAGCCGGTGCATTCGACATGTAGAGCTGCTCGCTTTCGCTCCCATCGATTGTTGCTCCAAGCCTTGCTCCATCTACGCATGCATTCGCACCGCTCCCTGGTTTCCTGCTCTGCTCGTTTCAGCCACCACTTCAGGATCTCGGACCGCTCGCAGTGGCTCCACTGCTTTGAAGCGACAATGACGCGTAGTAGCTTGCCCTGCCTTCGTGCTGGGCTTCAGAGCACTGAACGCCGTGTTGGAGATTCACACCTGTTATTTTCTAAGCTTTCCGCCCCTGAACTCTCTCCTTTGACTGCTACAGCTAGCCATGGCGTCCTCCTCTACCATCAACTGCCTGCCCGACGACGTCCTCGTGAAGATCTTCCGGCATTCGAATAGACCCGTAGTCCCACCCGCCGGATGCTACGCGTTGAGGGCGATTTCGCAGTGGCCTCTCACGGACCCCGCTGCAGTCGCCGCCTCCATCGTCCCTGAAGCGGAGTTCTGGCGCGGCTCTTCTCCCGATCTCCCCATACCCGCACCTCCCGCCTCCGCCGACGCTGCTCTCGTGCTGGCGATTGCTGCCGTGTGCCGCCGCTGGCGTCGCATCGCACACCGGTCTGCGCGATCGCTGCACGTGCGGCAGGATCGCATGGTGGCTCGCGAGGATCTCGCGCGCATCGTCGCGCATTTCACGGCGCTGACGCACGTGCATCTGAGCGACGGCAGCGTGGACGGCGTCGACGACGACTTGCTCGCGGCTCTCGCGTCCTCGTGCCCGGACCTGACCATGCTGCTCGTGGGCGCAGGGATCAACACACCCGACCCCGAGGAGGACGATTCGGAGGACGAGGAAGGCAAGGAGCGGCCGGTCACGACGGCTGGCTTGGACGCTCTCTTCCGCGCCTGCCCAGGGCTGGAGCACCTGTCCCTGCACTGCGCTTTCCGAGGCTCCAAGCTCCCGCCGTCCTTCTTCCGTCTCACTCGCCTGCGCACGCTGTGCCTGAGAGACCTCACCGCGATTGAAGATCCGGGCTTCACCGATCTCGCTCTCCTCGCGCATCTCTCCGTGGAAGCCCGTACGGTGACGCTGAGTCAGCTCTCTCGTCTCTCCGCTCTCCCCAATCTGACCAGTCTGTTCGTCCCCAAGTGGAGCTGGCTTGTAAGGTGCAACGCTGCTTTAACGTTCCCAGACCTACCCGCTCTGCGATCGCTGGGATTCGCAGAGCCGGTGGAAGACGCGGAGCTCGCAATCCGCGCAGAGTGGACGTGCGCGCGTCTCCAGCGCCTGCTGCTGAATGTTACAAATGCGAGCCTGCCGGATCTGTCCAGCGCGCTCTTCCCGTGCCTTCGCGAGCTCTGGTTGTCGGAGATCCGGTTGGATGCGCTGTCCTTCACGACGCTCGGCGCCTTGGAGGCGCTCAACATCTTCGCCTGCCCCGGATTGCTCACCCTGCCGGAGGACATCGGGCGCTTGACAAGGCTTAAGTCGCTCGTGCTGAGGGACTTGAGTCTGGCGTGCCTGCCGAATCCGATGGGCTTTGCTCACGGGCCTGGAGGAGCTGCACGTGGTCAAGTGCGCCCGCCTCGCGCACCTCCCTCGCACCATCTCCGGCCTGACGGCGCTCAAGATGCTCACCGTGGAAGAGGGGGGTTTGGCATCGCTGGAGGAGGGGCTCAGTGAGCTCACAGGCCTGCGGTCGCTGGTTCCGAGGAAGTGCCACGCTCTGCAGCACCTCCCGCCGTTGCTCAGCATGCTTTCGTCGCTGACTGATCTCGAAATCAGCAGCCGCAGGGTGGTCAGCCTCCCCGAGGGGATAGGGCAGCTCAGCAAGCTTTGCCGCCTGTGGCTGGGCGGATGCGCGCGCCTTGAGAAGGCTCCCGAATCCCTGCCTGCATCTCTGCAGGCGCTGGGCTTGGGGAGCGACAGCAGCAGCGTTGAGCTCCCGGACATGGCGATGGCTCCCAACCTCAGGCGCCTCTGCCTCAACCGGGTGGCTGTCAGGCAGAGGCTGGCCACCAGCCGCACCCTGTCCGAGCTGGAGCAGCTGGAGGTGCGCCTGGGCCCTGCCAGAGAGGTGCTTCCGGTCAACCTGCGCTTCCTCTCTCACCTCCGTGCCTTGCACGTCTCCCGTGCCTGCAGCCTGCAAGAGCTTCCTAATGGGATTGGGTCAGCGGTGCCCCAGCTGCGGCAGCTGCATGTGGGCGGGGCGGAGTGCCTGGAGGAGATTCCTGACAGCGTCACGCACCTCACGCACCTCTCCTCCCTCCGCCTTGAGGCTCCCAAGCTTACCTGCCTGCCCAACGGCCTTGGCGTGCTGACGCGCCTACGGGATCTCTCCCTGCATGGCTGCTCCTCGTTAAGCCATCTCCCGCCCTCCATCACCAACCTCTCGTACCTTGGCAAGCTGGATGTGAGCGGGAGCCCCCTGGTCGCGCTCTTCCCCAGCTTCCGCCACTGCACGAGGCTGAGGGAGCTGCACCTCGTGGGGTGTGTCAATATGAGGGGTCTGCCGGAGGACGTGTGGAGGCTCACGGCGCTGAGGCTGCTGGATCTGCGCGGCTGGAATGTCTTCTACGAGGTGTTCCTCCACATGCGTGACGCGCTCAGGGGGAAACTGGCCGGGTGCAGTTTGCGGCACGAGCATGGGCCAGCCATGGGGGCGGAAGACCAGGGTGTCGCTAGCTACCGGGAGGAGCGCTGCTCCCGCCTCTGATGCCTCCGCTGGTGCCTCAACGGCACCTCAGCAGGTGAGAGCCTCGTTGCCTATTGTGGTTGCTTCCAGGTAGGCAGGTTTGCAATCCACTTCAAAGCTTGAATCCTTCCCACATGCTTCGTGCCGTGGGCTCTGTGAGAGGCTGAAGTGGGCAGGTACTTGTTTTGGTGGACTCAGCTTGAGTTGGTCGAGTGAGAGCGAGAGAACGCTTGCTGAGTGTGCCAGCTGTTTGATGTAAAATGAGTCGTTTTAGTTCCTCTGCTTGCGCCCTGCCCATGTCCGTGCATGCACCCTGTGCCCGTGCGCGTGCCCATGTTGAACTCTTTCTGTAGGTCTAGCGTGGAGGAGCTGCAGCGGAGTGTGCAGTCCAAAGCCAAGGAAGCGGCCGTCACAGAGATGTGGCAGAAGTTGGCAGCGTCACAAGCCGACTGGGGCCAGCAGGTCCGTACTGCACTGTATGGGCAAGGAAGTTCCCTGCGGCTCCTAGCTGCGGAACACTCTCTTACATCCGCTCATTCCTCGTTTCTCGGATTCCACATGCTTCTACCCCATCCTCTCTGTCCCCTTCACTCACCACCCTCCTCCTCCTCCTCCTCCTCCTCCTCCTCCTCCTCCTCCTCCTCCTCCTCCTCCTCCTCCTCCTCCTCCTCCTCCTCCTCCTCCTCCTCCCTCCTCCTCCTCCTCCTCCTCCTCCTCCTCCTCCTCCTCCTCCTCCTCCTCCTCCTCCTCCTCCTCCGCCTCCCGCCTTGTCATCCCCTTCTCCCCAATAGCTGGAGGCTTTGGACCACCGCTGCATGTCAAGGGAAGAGGAGGTGAACGGCCTGCGGATTGCGTCGGAGGAGAGGCGGGCAGCAGAGGCAACAGTGAGGAAGGATGTGCGGGAGAGGCAGGTGCGATGGGGGTGTTTAGAGGTGGTGTCCGAGGAGCTGGACGAGCTGCGCCAGGCCAAAGAGGTCAGCCTGTGACTTTCCAAAAGCACTTCCTGTGCTCACTGTGCGTATCAGGCCATAGTTGGGCTTGCTGCATGCCGCTTCCCCCTTCCCTCTCCCTACGCACCACCCCAATTCCCTCCTTTCCTCTCCAATTTCTGTCCCCCCCAACAAAACCTTTAACACTTGTATCCAGAACCAACAGGTGGAAGCCAGTGACATGGTGCAGGCTGAGCGCAGCCTTTCACGGCAAGTTGTGGATGCAAGAGAAGTGGCAGTGGCGGACACGGAAGAACACCACTTGGTGGTGGTTTTAGCCATACGTGGCTACGGGCTGTAAAACACTTGTTGTTCTGTAGAGAAAATTCTTGCTCCCCGCGTCCCTCCCCCTCCCGCCCTCCCGCCATCCCGCCCTCCCTCCCCCCTCCCTCCCCCCCTCCCTCCCCCCTTCCTCCCCCCTCCTCCCTTCCCTCCCCGCGTCCCTCCCCGCGTCCCTCCCCCTCCCGCCCTCCCGCCCTCCCGCCCTCCCGCCCTCCCGCCCTCCCGCCCTCCCGCCCTCCCGCCCTCCCGCCCTCCCGCCCTCCCCCCTCCCGCCCTCCCCCCCCTCCCGCCCTCCCCCCCCCCTCCCGCCCTCCCCCCCCCCCTCCCGCCCTCCCCCCCCCTCCCGCCCTCCCCCCCCCCCTCCCGCCCTCCCCCCCCCTCCCCCCCTCCCCCCTCCCTCCCCCCTCCCCCCCTCCCTCCCCCCCTCCCCCCTCCCTCCCCCCCTCCCCCCCTCCCCCCCCTCCCTCCCCCCCTCCCCCCCTCCCTCCCCCCCTCCCTCCCCCCTCCCCCCTCCCCCCCCCCTCCCCCCTCCCTCCCCCCCCCCCCTCCCTCCCCCCTCTCTCCGTTCATGGCGCCTGGCTTCATTCAGGCGGGTTCTTTGCAATGTTCTCACTAGGTGGGTGCGTCTCTGCCTGACACCTGCCATGTTCTGCCGTGCCCTGTTCAGTTTTCTACCTCTTCTATGTCCTCCCCGCTGCAGCACTCTCTCTAGGTTATGGGTGAGCACATCCACATGCTCAACTTCGTGCAGCACTTCGAGAGACTCGTGGCTCCAGCACCTTACTAATAGCCCTTCCTGCGAAAGAAGAAGACGGGCGAGCAGACGGGCCGGGGGGAAATTTATGACTGCATGAGTGGCCTCAGTGATGTGACATTGGAGGTGTGAGGAGCTGGATGGTGATGGCACAGGCAGCACTTTTTATGCCTGAACATGTACATCGCTGCTGTGGTTGGTTCATCTGATGGGAGCACAGCACAGTGCTGCTTGTAACATCCAAACCTATTAGTACGTTCTGAGAACGATGTTACCAGATGCTATGGGGTCTACTAGCAGAGTCCTTGACTTCTACATGTACTCAAAACTTCAATTTGTCATGGATGTGGAGAAAAGGTATCAGTGGCCGCCTTGCTAACATGGCTAAGACTCTAGCGTAAAGAGAGATGTTCCAAGTTTTGTGCCATGCCCCACATCCCATCCCATGGCCTCCCTCTACCGCCCTCCCTCCTGATTCCATGTTCCACTGATCCACATCCACCCAGCCCTGCACCATGGTCCCACCCCACCCCCTCTGCTCCGAGCCCACTACTACAATCACAAAGCAGCTTCTACAAATGCCCCGAACAGATGCAATGTCGAACGGACCTTTGATCAGTTGCATCAACCATTGCAACTGTTGGGCTGATAAAAGCCCTTGGGATTTTTTTTTCAGAGACTAAGTCCCAGCTGTAGAGACTTAAGACCTTGAGTAGTGCAGCGGAAGTTTGAGACAGTTGAACCCTTGTACTAATATGTGAGAACAAGTGATTGATTAAAGAAACAAGCATACAGCAATATATAGAAGATAAGAAAGCAGTTGTAGAGTACAGTTACAGGAACGGTTTATCGAGTCGCACAGCGACTCGATTGCCGCTTCGGTTACCATCCGTGATGTTGTAACGGTCAGTCGCAACCTCCAGTTGCGACCTTTCGAGTCTTTTCGCATTCTTTGTCCGTCCCCTCATGTAACCTCCGTTGACTCGCGTGCTCCCCTGTAGTCTTCCTCGAGTGCAGTGTTACACTTCAGAAACGCTTAAGTCCTTTGAGATATTTCCAACAGCAACTATGTACAAGCACAGCTGTGACTCCCTTCTGTATGCCTTCGCCACTGCCCACCCAAGCGTGTCCCTCACATCACGGTTACTGGCCCTTATGAGGTTGACCATCATTCCACTGTCACCTCGTCATGCATCCACGGTTTCAGCATGGCGTCGGTACTCAATGGTTCAGCTGGTCCTGCAGCTGCGGCAGCTACTCCCTCTCTCCCATCAGCACGCAGTTGGCTGCCTCCACCTCTTTCAGCTTCTCAGTGAGTGCCCTCCTCAGCAGGTCTTCCACGCCCCGCTTCCCGTCCTCCCCGATTCCCAATCTCTCAGCTGGTGTTGCCTTCCTTCCTCCGCTGTTCCTCCCCCATCCCCATCCCACTGCACCTCTCTTCCATGATCAGTGCTGGCCTCACATCAACTGCACCTCGCCTGCCCAACTGTCAACCATGACTCGCCGCCATGATACTGCACTTTATTGTGATCGATGGGATGCAAGTCACGCACTTCCACCGTGAAATGGACGTCAACCAGACGGTTCAGCATTCCCCACGTTCGTGTTGTTTAAAGAAACACCGTTGTCACGACGCTCGCCCATTCTGTTGCTTGAAGTTTCACCTTACAACGTAGTTCTGTTTTTGCAATCGTTGCAGCTCTGAGGTTCATCCCTCTGACCGCCAGCCCGCCAGGCCTGCTGACCGCCCTACCCTCCTGTCCCACGTGTCCCTGCCTGCAGGTGCTGTACGTGAAGGTTTGTATCGTTTCTGAGGTGCGTCCGCCTGCTGCTCCACCAGCACCCCTCCACCGTCCACCGCACTTCCCTCCCGCTCCTCGTCCGGCTTCTGCTGCTGCTCCGTGCCATGCGTGCAGGCTCATGCCTCTCAGTTCCCCATCCTTGCGTATCCGCGTTTGTGTTCGCTCGCGGCTCTTGTGTGTGCTCGAATCATTTGTGTTGCCAACATTTGTGCTCTAATCATGCGTACTGGCTCACTACTGTGCATACAGGCGAGGATCCCTCTTAGTCTGCAGAACCTATACTTAAAGAGTCAGCTTCTGCTGGACACACAGCAGCTTAGCGCGCTTGGTGTGGACGACAGTGAGCCGCTCGTCGTCAGACGGTCAGTGCTGTAGCGCCTCGTAGTACCACCCATCTCTTTCTCTCAAGCGGTCCAGGCCATTGAATGATCCTGAGTACAAGCTACACAAGCGACAAAATAATAGGTACAGAGGCAGCCACTGTGGAAAAACAAAAGGGGGATCACTCAAGGGCCCAGAAACTACTAGACTTATAGTTCCCCCCGGGAACCAGACCGTATCCCCCCTCTCTGCCCCCCTCCCCTCCCCCACCCTTCCCCCCCGCTCTTCCCCCCCCCCACACCTAAGTATCATTCTCATCAAGAGGTCCCCCTGGTGAGGTGAGGTGCCAAGAGGTCTGCCATTGGTTGGGGGTAGGCCGCCTCAATAGCCGCCCCTGTGTGGGTGATGAGAGTGCAAGCTTGCAACTGCTGCAGGAGCACCGATCAGTGCTGGCGGTAGTGGACAAGCTGCTTCTTGACTGGGGTGATGAGCGGGTTGGCCGGAAATCGCGTCTGGTGCACTTTGTCAGAGCCGAGTGGTCCGCTAGGTCCTTGAGAAACTTGGCAGCGGCCGGGGCAAACGCCCTATGGGTCTCTACGGCCAGGGCGAAAAGCCCCACGCAGTCCAGCCTGTCCTCGTACTCGCGCTCCTTGGCCTGGGCTGCCTCCCTGGCCTTCCAGCCGGGGGGGCAGCTAGCGTCGGTGTCATGGCGCTGAAGGACAGGGCTAGGTGACGCCAGATCTCCACTTGGCGTCACATTCGCGGCTTTCAGCAGCAGGGTAAACACATGCGGGTTGGGTAGAGCAGGGTCTCTAAGGTGTGCTCTCTCTCCCTTCTCCCGCCCGTCTGGAGTGTCTGGTCTTACTTGCGAAGATGCATGGCCCATAATTGAGCCAGTATGTATCCTCTTTGGTCTGTGACGCGTCCGCTCTGGGGCCGTTCACAAGCAGCGTGGTTTGGTGATGCCGCCACAAGCAGCGTTGTACAACAAAGGCATGTATTGGCATCCGATGTTCGGTTGGTGTGACTTGCCTTACCGGAGAACACGGGCGTTCCGAGCGACGATCCCCTGGCGGAAATCTTCACGACAGGCACCGGATCTGGTGCGAACGAGAGAAGTCGAAGAGCACGAGATAGAGAAGGGCTTAGTTGGTGTTGCTATTGAACCTTCTGCTGCGTTTCACTGGGCTGCTGGGTGGAGCCTCTCCTCACCCCTCCATCCCTCTTCCCCACCCACCCCCCAAACCCCCTGCCCCTTCCCTCTTCCGCTTCTCCCTTCCCCCGCTGCCCCCGCCTTCAACCTCGAGTGGCTAACGAGTGAGACCTCGAGTGAAGTAGTGCGTAAACACGACATAGTGGCCCGCATACACGCAGGTACTGCGTGTGACCTCGCTATGTTAGGCAGGCCGTGGGCCGGACTGGTCTAGGTCAGGGCATGGCGGTACGTCTGCGCGTTGGGACGCTTGGTACTGCCAAATCAGTGGCACTTCCAACTGATTGGGTAGCTCCACATGTCACAACGGTAAGGGCGTGTGGCGAGTACGTTCGGAGGGACCCTCCACTCTCATCACATGTTTTGAAATGCACAAAATCACTAAGTACCGCGTTGTTCCTGACCTCCGATCCGTTCCCATTGTTTCGATTTCTATTTGCCACACCCCCTAAGCGGGGAACGAACGACCCACACAGAGCAGCGAATGCATGCGTGGCTGGGAGCACACAGGGGGGAGGTTAGGAAAGGCTTCGCCGTGTAAAATCTAACTACAGATCATATGACTTGTAGACGAACCCCTTTTACACCCAGGAGTATTCCATAGGCAATTTATCCTTCAGAGCCTCTCCTTGTATGCAAAGTGTACCAGTCTCAACTCAACAGTAAAAATAGACAGTCAATTCGGCTGATCCAAGGGCGTCCAATCAGATTGCTCTTGTGTTTTCAGAGCGACCACACCTAGTGGTCGACGAGCCTAAAAAAATCCAGATGTGTCAGGCTCGTCAACCAATGTCGAGGCAAAAATCCACATGATGCGCTAGAAACAACCAGCTCGTAGACGGTCCAGTAGAATTGCGCCAGCAATTCCAACGGAATCCGTCGGTGTTGCCCCAGGAAAATCCGTCCACCCACAGCCAATACGAGCGCGACACGGAAGCAACAGAGGGGTCCCAACTATCAGAATGAATAAGTGAACTAGAATGTGTGAGTACAAGGGTATATAGACTAGGGTGTTGTACCCTTTAAGGCACAATCCAGTATAGTCTACTGTAACGACCTAAGTTACATTTGACACACCCCCTAGACTATATAGGGGCAGTGCTTAACAGGGAAAGAAGCAGCTCAGGGCGGCACTACTAGTCCAGCCTCTGAGGCAAGGGTCTAAAGACCAGTCAAAGGAGTACAGACAAGACAAGAGCAAGACCAGGGCGGCACTACTAGTCCAGCCACTAGGAGAGGCCACAAGGCCAGTCAGGGTAAAATATATATATAAAGGACAGTACAAGGTCAAGGCCCTAGCAAGTGAGAGGCTACAGGAATGAGACCTAGCTGTACATAGTGTCGCTGATGATCTTTAGGCGCAAGCGCCTTTGTAAAGATATCAGTTGTGTTGGCACCGGAGGCCAAGTGTACTACGCGCGCCTGGCGGCGCTGCTGGAGCTCACGCAGGAGAAAGTACCGCAGCTGGATGTGCTTCGCTCTGCCCTCG